GCCCCATGCCGGAGGCGAGCTCTGGCTGGTCAACGGGCGCCAGCTGATGCAAGGCCAGGTCCTCAGCGGATCCGAGGCGCCGCCCCTCGTCTGCACGGCGCGCTTCATGTACGCCAGGACGCCCAAGATGGCGCGGAAGGGGCTCCGCGGTGCTTGCAGCGGGGCGGCATCCAGGTCTCTGCGGGGTCGCGGGCCCAGGCCAGATCGTCGGACCCGAAGAAGGGGCGGCCCCCTGGCACGGAACAGGCGTTCGGCGAGCTGCTGCCCCCCACGGCGGCCATCAGGGCGCCGTGGGCCGAGGAGTTGGGCGCAGAGGCGCAATGCTCGGGAGGCGGCAGCGGAGCGGCGGAGCCAGCGGAGTTGGCCAGCGCCAACGTGGCGGCGCAGGGCGAGGCGATGCCTGCAGCGGGCAAGGCGGCGGCATCGCGGGCCCCGCCAGCCGCCGCCCGCTCCGAGCGCGAGAACGCGCTCATCGCGCCGCCCCTGGCGGCCATGGCTTGCGCGCACGGGTTCGTCGATGTGTCGCAGGCGCGGGCCGGGGGCCTGGCAGCGCAAGGCGAGCGGGCGGCGGCGGCGGCCCGCGAGGGCGGCTAGGGCGTGGCTGGCAGAAAGAATTCCTGTGCACGCACGGGCCTCTCGGGGCCCTTGAAGGGTTGAAATGCCCACACCGTATTGTACGGGCCGGGGGCCGATCTCTTACCCTGGGGCCCAATCTCCAGGTGTCGCAGCAAAAAGGCGGCACGACGGGCGTTCCCGCCACCGATCGCGAAGCAGGGGGGGGGCGCCCTCGGGCCATGGAGCCATAGAGGACGATCCGCCGCGAATGATCGGCCCTAGGGAAGTACCCGCCTGAAACAGATTCCTATCCCTAATATTGGGTCCGTCAAGCGCCCATACCCAACACGACCATGTTAAACTCGTTAGGCATGCTCAAACCGATTGGCATGTTGGATGCAAGCATGCACATCTTACGCACACCCAACGACCCCACACGCCCGCATTACGCGCGCAGGACGAACTTGGCCTCCCAGAGTTTCAATACAGGCATAGGAAGCCCAACCCTGCTAGTGGCATCACTTAATCCCGGTGTCGGTATGAGCAAATATCCTGCGTGCGCGAGGGCACATCCTTCAGATTATCATCGTCTTGGGCTTGTCAGTGGTAGGGCTAAGGATCGGCACGAGGCTGTCTAAGAACGAGGGGTCGACAGGCCAAGCCGTGACAAAATCAGGGCGTCACCTGGGGCCCGCAGCCCGCAGCAGTTCGGCACTGACGACAACGATGTACTCCAGCGTCGAACCACGACTCTTAGCGCCGACGTCGAACGACGACGACGACGACGACGACGACGACGACGACGACGACGACGACGACGACGACGACGACGACGACGACGACGACGGCGGCGGCGGCGGCGGCGGCGGCGGAGGCGACGTTGGCGACGAAAATCTTCGACGAGAAACGGCCACGACCACGGCACGACCACGACGAAGAGCGACGACGACGACGACGACGACGATTTTGACGCCGAACGTCGGCAGCGTCGCCGTCTGTCTTGCATGGCCGGCGCTCCCTACACGCGGCCTTGGGAGCTGCTCCCAGGCATTGGATGCTTTGTTTTCTCGATACGGGGCCCCCCGCAGTCCCGATTCTTTCCCCGGGCCAGTTTTTCATCCCGAGTCGTTTTTGATAACGGTCCTGGGGCCAAGCGAGGGCCCTTGGGGGCCGAACACGGCAACAAGAATGTACATGTTGATTCTTCCCCGACGCGAGCGTGTCTGGGAACGCAGCCCGGGGAGCTGCTCCGAGGAGAGGCCATTGGGCCCAAGGCCAGGGGATCCCCAGCGCTCGAGGCCGACCTTGCCGACACGAGGCCTCGGTGCACCCCATCGTCCCCTTTTCCCCTTGCGCGCGCCGCCAACAACCTTTGCGCTCAGTGGCACCACATTCTGGACCTTCAGAAATGTCAGAGGAGGGGAAGATACTGATACCGCTGCCCTTCCCTCGTGTTCCCCTTTCTGGGCGTCCTGGGAGGCCCTCGTCACCACCGTTGGATTCGCCTCGAAATCCTGGTCAGGATGCACCCCAGGAGAGGTTTGGGGACTAGCGGGCGGTATTGGTACCTTTTGGTTGTCCCAAGATGTGCGCCTTCAAATAACCATACATGCCCCCACAAAGTCTGCCTCCAGTGAAGCAGCGGCCTGCCGTGAAATGTTTACCTTCCGCCGGCAGTGCACGGGATGAGGGCCTCGGAGGTAGCCGCGGCCCCGAGGCGGAGACAAGGAGGAGGGGGGGAGAGGAGCGGAGGAGGGGGTGTGGTGCGACGCTGGCGTCGGACAGGTGTGCGTGCCCTGTGCTTGTCCGCTTCCTCCTTCCTCCTCGTCCTCCTCCTCCTCCTTGTCTGAGGAGGTGTGGGCAGAGGACGGACAGGTGTCCGTCCTCTGTCCACACCCGCCGGGGTGGAGCAACGCTCGTGGACATATCGCGGGGTCGCGGGGGCTCCCCAGCCACTGTGTTGATGCAGAGCTACACTGTCAATGCCTCGCTGTCCTGGGGCTTTGCTGTGTTCTTGCTCGCTGGAGCATTTGACACGTGTGCGGAGCTGCACTGCCAATGCCGCACATTCCTGTGGCTTTGCCGCGCTCCTGGTCTGAACGCACACCGCTCGAGGCGGCGGAAAGCATGAGATGCCCATTCAACAAATGAGCGGCGCAAAACAGCGGGTTCGTCTGCACCGACACTGGCGCGCAAGCTGCCCGCGTGAGGTCGCGCGTGAGCGCCTCCGTCTCCGATGTAGCGTGCCGCGCCGGCGGCCCGCATACGTCGCCGCGTAAGGTCGCGACGCCATCTCGCGCTAGACCCGTTTCTGCTCGTCGCTGAAGTGGGGGGGCGGGGGCAGCCTCGAAGCTGAAGACGAGGCGGCCCGCCCACGGCGCACAGCCGGCGGTCCCACCACTCCCGACGGTCCGGCTCGCGGCGTGCCCTGCTCAGGCTCGGCGCGGGGTGGCGGGCAGCACGCCAGCGGCGGCGGCCCGCTCGTGAAGGGAGGAGTTCAGGAGGAGAGGGGGGTGGAGGGGGAGGAGGAGGGGGAGGGGAGGAGAGGAGAGGAGGGGAGGAGGAGGAGGAGGAGAGGAGGAGGAGGAGGAGGAGGAGGAGGAGGAGGAGGAGAAGGAGGAGAGGAGGAGGAGAGGGGAGGAGGAGGAGGGAGGAGGAGAGGAGGGAGGAGGAGGGGAGGAGGAGGGGAGGAGGAGGGGAGGGAGGAGGGAGAGGGAGGAGGAGGAGGAGGAGGAGGAGGAGGAGGGGGAGGAGGAGGTGGTGGACGAGGGAAGAGGAGCAGCAGCAGTAGGAGGGGGAGGAGGGAGCAGGAGGAGGAGGAGGCTGAGAGGGGTGAGACGAGGGAGGAGTAGCGACGAGGAAAGCTGAGGAGGGAGGAGGAGGATGAGGAGGAGGAGGAGGAGGAGAGGAGGAGGAGGAGGAGGAGTGCCAACGCACCACCCGCGCACGCGCACGCCCCGCGGCTCGAGAGGCGGGGAGGCGGGGGCCAAGGGCGGAGGCGCTCGAGGCTGGGAGGAGAGGGCCACGGGCGGCCCCACGGCGGGGCGCGATGGCAGGCGCGCTCCCCCCCCCGCGAGGATCGAGGGCCAGGGCTTCGGAGCCCTCGAGGTCGTTTTTATCGCCTGGCCACAACAGGCATGACCGGGGGGTCCTCCTCCTCCTCCTCCTCCTCCTCCTCCTCTCCTCCTCCTCCTCCTCCTCCTCCTCCTCCTCCTCCTCCTCCTCCTCCTCCTCCTCCTCCTCCTCCTCCTCCTCCTCTGGGGGACCAGGCCTGGTCACACCGGGGGTGGGTGGGAGACCAGGCCTGGCCACAACGGGCGTGACCAGGGGAAGGAGGGGAGGGGTGGTGGGGAGGGGGCCGGTCATTTCACGATTCGTGGGGCCGAGGCCGGTCACGGGCGTGATCGCGAGTCTGAGAAAAACATTTTTTTTCCATCCCCGAGAGGATGGAGGACCCGGGCTTCCGATGGCAGGATCGGGGAGCGGGCTCGGGCGGCTCAGAGACACTGCGAGACTTCGGGGAATTTCTGGAAGCCTCCAAGCAAATCCAAAAACGTCCGCCTCTCCTCCTCTTCCTTACAACGGTTCCTCATCCTCCCCCTCCTCCCCCCGCAAGCTCATGGCTGACGCCGAGTCCATGGTATTTTTGTTCTGCCTGCCGAGTTTGTTCTTTCGTGGCACGGGTTCGCCTCATCTGATGTTTATTCGTGTAGTCATTGCTTATCGGCTTCCTCGCCAAGAGTCCGTAAATGTGCGAGGGTGCGACGCAGCACAACAGGACACGGCACGTCACGGCATTTCAAAGGGCACGGCACGGCACAGAAAGGCACAGCCCCATTGAATCACGATATGCACCCACAGCACATGCATGTTTGCGCCACATGTTGCGCCACGTTTTCGGAGTCACAGTCTGGCCCGATCTGTTTAGGATGCGCCACTGGCTACGCCACAGGTTTCGCCACAGGTTGCACGATAGGTTTCATGCAGTGGGGGGCAAGTGGAATCATGGTCTGTTTTTTTGTGTCTGGCTTGCGCCGCACATCGCATGCAGGAGGAATCACGGTCCAGCCCGGTGTGCCTCTCGTATGTTATGCGAATGTGTGTGTGTGTGTGCGTGTCGCCCCGTTCTGTGCCGGTTCTTGCCCTTTCCCAGAATTATACCTCTCACCCGGGATCTCACATTTGCGTTTTTAGGCTGCATCGGCCAGTGTGTTTTTGTGCAGTCATGCTTGCCAGCTTCTTCTTCTTCAGGCGTTCGTGGTCCACAGCGTTGGCGGCGCGTTTGCTGTGTCGGTGTATGTGCGCGCGTGCCGGTTCCCATCTTGTGCGCCCCGTCGGTGCTCACCGCGTGGATGCGCGCAGCGGGCTTCGGGCGAACAGTGTGATTGATTATTCGTTGGTATCAGTGTTCCGCTCTGCTCTAGAGACATTTGACCGTGTGAGCAAGGTGAGCAGGCGAACCGCGTGTATGTGGGAAACCTCGATTGGAAGGTGTCTTGGCAAGACCTGAAGGCCTCCATGGGCAGCCAATGAGGAGGTAGAGAAGGAGAAGAACAGGAAGTTTGAGCGGAGGGCGGTGCAGGAGGAGAAGCACCTGAATCTGGAGCAGAGCCAACAGCAGCTGTGCTGCGGGGGGGCGCAGCGCGAAAGACCGCTCCCGCCCCCCAGAGATCATGAGAAATGGTGTGGCGGAGGTGGGGGAGGAGGAGGAGGAGGAGGGAAAAAGGAGGTCGGAAGTGGGCGAGAAGAACGAGTCTGAGGATTCAGAAGGCAAGACAAGGAAATAACAACAAGGAGTGTGCGGCGGGAAAGAGGTTAGAAGAAACGCGTATAGGCCTCCTTGCGACACGCAGCAGCAGGTCACCTTCATCATTGGCCTCCCCCTGCGTGCACATGACGTGGGCGGTTGGATGAGAGCTTTGTGCATACCCGCGTTGCCACGTGTCTTTCCCTCGCTATGCCCGCGTGCGGCTGGGTACGCCGGCTCTCCGCGCATGTAGCTGGCGCGGAGCGCCCGCATATTCCGAATCCAGCCGTTCCTGCCTCGAGCATCTTGGTATGTGTATACTGTCAGGAACTTTGGCGGATGCGCGTCGCGCCGCCGGTTCTGGGCCACCGCGCTTCGGCGCGACTCGCTAGCCACTTCAGAAGCCCCGTTCGTCAGCGTTAGGGCTCGACCTCAACGGTGTCTTGGCGATTTCGTGAACCGTGTTCGTTTTGACTTCGTTGTTCAGCGAAAGCGGAGCGAAGACAAGACGAAGGAAAAGGAAAACAAAACGAAAACGAAAAACATTGTTTTGGTCCAGCCCTGGCCAACGTCCCAAGCGTTTCCCCGCATCCCGCCCCGCGGAGCGGAGCGACACGCTATCTTGTTGCAGGGCGTAGCGTGTCACCGTGACCGCCGCCGCAACACGCTAAGCAATTGTTTCTGACCGTATTATCTCAGGGGCGTTGCAGGACGTGCCGCACAGCGCCAGAACGGCGCCCGTTCGAATACATCCCCTGGACGAAAGTGTGCCCCTCTTGGGCTTGAACCGGTCACTTGCAAGAGTCACAACGGAACGTATGAAAATGAATTGAAGCAGATCTGATGTTAGGACGCGCGTATCCCATTTCGGTTGGATCTGATGTCCGTCCGTGGGTATCTAAGTTCGCCTTTCGTTGATATGATGTTCGTTTTGGTTTTCTCCTCAACAAAAATATGCTTATTATCCTTCTCTGTGTATCATGTTGAACCTTGGCGGGGGGTAGCAGGCAGGAACCATATCCAAGGCCCCTGAACCAACCCGCGTTAAGATTCTACGAGGGCGAGGGTTTCGTTATGGAGTTGTGGCGGTTCGCATTTCCAAAGGAGCATCGATCGTCTTGGGGAAGTTGTCCTTCTTCCTTGTTTGATTTCCTCGTCGATGGGAAAGTGTGGGGGGAAGTAGTTATTCCTTGCTTTCCCTCTTTCACGAGGAACGTCAACCGCCTTGGGGAAGTAGTGCTTCCTCCTCCTTGAACAGCTCCTCCAGATGAGTACTGCTATCAGTACGCCCCAGAATATGTGCTTTCGGGGCCCTGCTTCTCCTCCCGTATTCGCGCACATGCTGTGAATTTGTTTCAAATGGTGTTCCCGCTGCAGCGCTGGTCTCATTTCAGGGTCGGCGTTTCGAATGGTTCTCTCTCATCCCAGCCCGAGCAACATTTCCGGATCCCGTTCCTGCCCCGTCATTGTCGCTCCCCGCCCTACCTTGCCTGAAGTGTCGTGATCTTCTTGCCCCTCCCGCTCCTCATACTCCTGGTCTTGCTTCTGTTGTTCTTCCTCCTTCCTCATCCTGCTCCTCATCCCCCTGCGCATCTCCATGCTCATCTGCCAGCCCGTCCGCCTCAACTGTGCGCAGCTCCCTCCCCTTTAATTGCGCATCACTCGATGGGGGCCCAGGTTCGCTAGGAAACCTGTCGACGGTCGGGAAACCTGTCGACGGACGGACAGAGCGGGTGCCAGTTGTGGCGCGCGCGCGCACCTAGCTTGCCTCCTCCAACCTCTCTCCTCTCGCTTTTCTGCCTCGTCCCGCACCCCACTTCCAGCCCCTTTTCTCCGTCATTCCCCTCGTCGTCGTGTTTTTCCTCCTGATCCTCCTCCTCCTCCTCCTCCTCCTCCTCCTCCTCCTCCTCCTCCTCCTCCTCCTCCTCCTCCATAGTGTTCTCTTCCCCTCGACATAATCGTCTCTACCCGCCGTCGTCTTCGTGGTCGTCCTGGTCCCCTTCACCCAGTTCCTCATCATCATCATCATCATCACCACCATCATCATCTTCTTCATCATCATCATCATCACCATCATCATCATCATCATCATCATCATCATCATCATCACCATCGTCACCATCAACAGCATCATCCGCAGCCACGTTGGTTCAAGTTCGAAACAAGTCCACTGTGTTCCGAGCTCGATCGCAGGCGAGGGGGAGACCCAAGGCCTGCTTCGCCCTGTGGCTGTCTCGGGGGTCGCCAAAGGCCCGACCGACCGCCACATGCTTTGGCAGCGCATGTTGTCCATCAGGAGTCCTTCATCCCCCAGCGACGGCTGGCACAAAGAGGGTCAGTGCATTCACACATCATGGAAACAGTTCATCGCGCTGGACAGGAGCATGGAAGAACGCACACCACCGTCCACGACGGTCGCCGACCACGAGCGCCGCGTGCAGAAGTCCGAGAAAGGCCTCGGACCGCAGCTTCAGCGAGCTCAACAGGAAGATCGAGAGCATCCAAACGGGCGGTCCCAACAAAGGATTGCAAAAAAACCCTTCGAAGGATTGCAAAAAAACCCTTCGAAGGATTGCAAAAAAAACCCTTCGAAGGATTGCAAAAAAACCCTTCGAAGGGTTTTTTTGCAATCCTTCGAAGGGTTTTTGTTGCAATCCTTCGTACAAGGGTTTTTTTGCAATCCTTCGGTGTTGTTTGCAATCCTTCGAGGAGCGAATCTTCGGAGGCACCGCGGGTTCGCTGCCGATCGACAGCCCCCGAAGGCGCCCGAGCACCACGGGCACCTTCGGCGGGCGCCCCGACGGGCGCGGCGAGAACGGAGGCCGCGAAGGGGGGCGCGGCGAGGCCCGAGCCGCGTGTTTACGGACGAGGGGGGCCTGCCGCCGCGTGCAAAGGGGAGGGAGGCGGAGGAGCAGGAGCAGGAGCAGGAGCCGGAGCAGGAGGAGGAGGAGGAGGAGGAGGAGGAGGAGGGGGAGGAGGGGGAGGAGGAGGGGGAGGAGGAGGAGGGGGAGCAGGAGGAGGAACGGGAGCAGGAGCAGGAGCAGGAGGAGGAGGAGGAGGAGGGGGAGGAGGGGGAGGACGAGGAGGCGCTCACATCTCAGATTTCGGCAGTGCCGCGCCCGCCCTCGGCGGAACCGGTGGGCACTTCCGGTCTTGGGTCGCGCCGTCCTGCGGAACGTCGTCGAACCCGTGGCGGCCGCGGGTGCGAGGGTCCTCTCCTCTCCTCTCTTCTCCTCTCCTCTCCTCTCCTCTCCTCTGCTCTCCTCCTCTTCCTCCTACTCCTACTCCTCCCCCTCCTCCGCCTCCTCCACCTCCTCCGCCTCCTCCTCCTCCTCCTCCTCCTTTTCCTCCTCCTCCTCCTCCCGCCCAAAGTTCCATCCTCAAGACTAGCGTCCCGCCCGGGCCCCTCGACAAAGCCACTCCCAAATCTCAGGATTCCAAATTCTCCCACGCAGTAGAGTTCAAGCCCAAGGAGCAGGACGACACATGCTGGAACCATGTCAAGACGATTTAAGTCTACCGTGTTGACCAGAAGAACAGCACGGTTCATCCACGGCATCCTGGGAAAGACTTGTTTCCAGTGCGGCAGAGCTTGTTCTTGGAGCGGCCTATACAGCGCAGAGATGGAAGACCAGCAGACCTGGAACGCGCAGAGCATGAGGCTCGGTACTAACTCGTTCCAGGATGCGCCGCGCACCGTTGCGGACGGGGGGCCGCGCGAACGAGTGCTTCTGAAAGACGGTTCAGGGAAGAGCGTCGGGATATGCATGGACAGAGGGAATTGCACCCGTTTCAGTATACCTGAGGCGCTCGCCCGCGGTCTCGCTGACCGCGCCCACGCGCAGATCTCCGAGCAGGGCCTTCCCCCACAGATACCCGACGCCCCTCTTTCGCATTTTGCCGTTGGCAAAATGCGCGGGCGCTCGGAGCATGGACGTTTCATCGTTGACCTCGGGCCAAGGGGCCAGCAATTCATGCGCCAACGGCGGAGCAGGATCTGCGCGGGGTGCCAGGTCACATGCGTTGTTGGATGCGTCTGCCCCTGCTCTCCACCCGCCTCCCCTTCCTTGTCCCCGTTCCCCCCGCGGGAATCAGGCGGATCCCAACCACTTGGGGCGGATTCCAACCACCGAACAGGGGCCGATCCCAACGTGACGGATTCCTATAGTATTTTTACAAGACGAACACAGGATTACAACCTGATTATAACCTCTGCAGAACCTCTGCCGAGCCTCTGAAGCGCTTCTCCAGAGCTTTTGCAGAGCCTCCGAAGCGCCTCTGCAGAGTCTCTGCAGAGCCTCTGCAGAAGCGCTTCAGACGGTCTTCTGACGGAGAGGGTCACCCAGCCCGCGTGCACCGATGGCGCGGACATGTTTGTTTGCCGCAAGGGCAATATGCGGAAGGCGCCCCCGCGCACTTCGGCAGCTCCTCCCCCTGACGAACGGAACGCTCGCATCCGCCAATCAGAGCAGGAGGTGGGTAAGCTCCGAGGCGGCGGAGCAGCCAAGAGTCGCCCCGCTGCTTCCAATTCGTCCGTCGGTACGGGCCCCGCTCTGAAGCGGCCTGCGGCGGCCGCTTTCGCGGCGGACAGCGCCGCGGTCCCCCCGCCCCCGTCGCGCCGCCGCACGGGGAAGTGTGCGCCGCGCAGCATGGCTGGGCCTGACGTGGCTCGCATGTACGTGCACCAGCCGGTGGTAG